AGGGAATACATTATTAAGTGCAAAGCAAAAGACACGCTGTTTTGGAAAGCTCACACACCAAAGCAAGTATAGCACGCATTAAGACTTACCTGCTTATACTTCTGCTAAAAGACAAGACAAATAATCCCACTAAGTATATCTAATATTCACGTAGAAGGCATACGCATATCAGGCAAATACAGTGTTAATACCTTACTGTTTGCATTAGAAACAGCAGTTTAAAACCAAAATACATAAATACATCATGTTCTGTGCTTGTCCAATGAAGTTCACAATTTGAATAATAAGATACTACATTTCTACTCAAGAATCAGGACAACTCTTTAATGAATGCATCCTACTAAGTAGAATTACACACATATAAAATGAGATTATCAGTGATAAAGGTGAAAACTGGCATGCTTGAACTTTAGAAACATAAAACTACATGAAATAGTGTTTTTGCTTTGTTGTTGCATATTACCTTTATAACTTTACATGACAACTATAACTTTTGACCTTATGCTTTCTGTACATTTGAAGTTCATTACAAATATTCAGAAGCTAAGATTTATACATACATTACATATAGTGGGTCTTCAAATGTAATAATCATTAATTTAGCAATATTTAGTTGCAAAAGCATTCTGTTTATATGCACCTAATATTAAGGAGAGGAATTAATTAATTAGAGGAATTAAGGAATTGATAGTATATTGCTTTAAACCTTGTAGCATATTACTTCAAATATTCTTCTTTCCTTTTTTTTTTGTTTTGGTCATTTGTATATTTGGTTAGCTTTCTATTATTCCTTTTCTTACTTTCCACACACAAGAGAAATGCATTTAAACTCTAATCAGAGCTAGAAGTGCAGGTACAGTTTGCAAGGTGCACTATACAGAATAATATATAATACCATCATTTTTCATGCAGTAAATAGTAGAAATAAGATTAGAACTGTTTCTTTCCAAATGCAAAATCCTGTGCTCACACTGCACTGATTTAAAAAAAAACCCACTAATTTGAATGGAACAATTTCTAATTCTCTGATTTAAAAGAAGGTCCAAAATATAGCATGTTGGGAAAATACAAGCACCAGAATATCTTGTACAAAACCATAGTTACTACAGATTTAGTAGACATATCATCTGTATGAGTTACCCGGACAGAAAGTAACCATATGATGTGAAAGAAAACATTTAAAAAGCAATCACACTATAGATTGGAATCACACTGCTTTCAAATTCATCCTGAACACTGTTGTCTATATCCTATGTGAAGGCAAGCAAAAATTTTTGACACTTCAATTTCAGATATTTACCAAAGAGTTTTTCCAATGACAATGCCATATTTTTTCTTGCAAGAGTGAACTCAGGCGAGTTTTTCACCAATATTAACGTAGCATCCAAACAACTACTTAGACCTTCATGAGCTTGTGCCAGCTGTACTGTACCTTTAGGCCATATATCACTGCTAACTCAAGAGTTCTATTCACCAGCAGTTTGTATTGATTTCTGCATGTAAGAGAAAGCCTTAGTATCACACCTGGATGCTCTGGTCCATCGAGGCCTTGCCGTATGCTTTAATGCTCGGTTCACATTTGAAATTTACTCTAGAATCCCCATCCTCAACACTGGAATTGTGCATTATAGGACAAATGCATGAAGGTTACTCAAAACACAATACTGGGGTGCTGTGCATGAAGATACTGTTATGCTTATTTCAAGAAACAGACATTTGCAAAACCAAATACAAGCAACATGAGAGATCATTCAACAGCTGGACCTTGGACCTTGACAGGCTTGAGAGGTGGGCCCATGTGAACTGCATGAAGTTCAGCAAGGCCAAGTGCAAGGTCCTGCACGTGGGTCGGCGCAATCCCAAGCACAACTACAGGCTGGGAGAGGAATGGATTGAGAGCAGCCCTGAGGAGAAGGACTTGGGGGTGCTGATTGATGAGAAGCTCAACGTGAGCCCGCAATGCGCACTTGCACAAAGCCAACCATATCCTGGGCTGCATCAAAAGAACCAACAGGTGAGGGAGGTAATTCTGCTCCTCTACTTCACTCTGGTGAGACCCCACCTGGAGTACTGCATCCAGCTCTGGGACCCCAGTACAAGAAAGACATGGAGCTGTTGGAATGAGTTCAGAGGAGGGCCATGAAGATGATTGGGGTCTGGAGCACCTCTCCTGTGAAGACAGGCTGAAAGAGTTGGGGTTGTTGAGCCTGGAGAAGAGAAGGCTCCTGGGAAATCTTATTGCAACCTTCCAGTACCTGAAGGACACCTACAGGAAAGCTGGAGAAGGACTGTCTGCAAGGACATGGAGTGATAGCACAAGGGGTAATGGCTTTGAACTGAAGGAAGGTAGATTTAGATTAGACGTTAGAAAGAAATTCTTTACTGTGAGGGTGGTGAGGCACTGGAACAGGTTGCCCAGGGAGGTTGTGGCTGGGCCCTCCTCAAGGCCAGGTTGGAGGGGGCTTTGGGCAACCTGGTCTAGTGGAGGGTGTCCCTGCCCATGGCAGGGGGGTTGGACTACACGATCTTTAAGGTCCCTTCCAAACCAAACCATTCTATGATTCTATGAATTGCAGTGAACTCACTGATAATGGGGACTTTCTATCCTGGTCAATTCAAGCACCTTCAGCATCTCTTTAATGATTTTATTTTCATATTTTAAGAACATCATTTCCTTACAAGTGTGCCTACTTTATCAAGATATTACGCATAATGTAGCCTCTCTATTTTCAGACTGTAACTATAAATGACTATTTAATTTGTTTCCAATAAATTAATACATTATTCATATCAGGAGTGCTTTAGAGCTCAAACTGATTCAGAATTCTACAAAGTATGAACCTACCCGTAAACCTCAGTCTTAGGAACTGTGTCAGCTGCCTTAAAAAGTAAAACAAAGACACGAAGACTACAAGACACCCTTCGCAGAGCAATGCTTCTCTTTCCAAGTGTCTACTTCCATTAGACTTAAAGCTAAACTTGCATTTTGTACAAATGACCATATATAATTAAATAAGATCAAACTCATAATCACTTCAAGTGCAGCCAACCAAAGAACAATACTTTTAATCAATGACAAGTCTCCCTCACCATGAATGAGCATTTATATTATCAATTAAAAAGCTGTTGTTCCACTTACTGTGCCACATCAGATACAGCTGGCAGTGTCGACTCTTCTGATAAAAGGTCAATGTCATCAGTGAAGCTGTTGGCCCGTGACATTTCTTGGTTATTCCTTTCTAGGCGTCTTTTCACTGCACAAATAATTCAAAGAAATCATAATACATAAGGGAGACAACATATGCCAGCTCTTTCCCTTGCTTAAGATATTGTCCACTAGATTAAAGAGATGGTTCTGATAATGACACATAGCTTTCTTTTATGTCAGAATCAGTCAAGTTGATGCTTAGAACATATGCCATACAAAAACATATATGTGCATATACAAATACACAGGAATCTCTTACAGGAAAGGCTTGTCTTCTTGAGGACTGTCTCCCCATAGCAGAAATTCACCATACCCACAATTTCAATGTGTGTCCGGCAATAGATAGAAACAATCTGGCTTCCATTTCCTGAGTTAATACTATTTGATATGTATACTTTAATTTCTCTAAACCCTTTATTTAAAATTTTATTGCTATTGTCATATAAACAGCACTTTTGTTTCAAATATTCTATTTGGTCACTATATTCACCAGTGTTCAAAAATTCTCCTGTGGACCAGGGAAGGATCTCAGGTGTTTGAATGCAGTCAGCTCAGCAGGGTAAACAATGATGGATACAAAGCGCTACTGTAGCTCAGCTTATGTTCCAAGCATAAGAAAGCTATAAGTTTCATTACAGCTTGGGAAGACATATGATGGCCAACAAATGAAGGAGTTCACTCACAGATTGCAAAAAAACAGAGAAGTGCAGCTAGCCCTGTAACTATGTTTTAAAAAGCTCTAACCCCAATACTCACTTCCATCAAGTACAGGGCTGACTTCTTCCACTATAAATGTGAAGTATACATGTACCTGCCTTTCCGAGTTCAGTTGCATCAATATTCATAAGCAACTTCTGCTTTAAGGTCTTTTCAATATCTTTTCTGTATCTATTTTGTTCAAAAGCTATGAAATACATCTAGCTTAAATTGCTGTGATCTGAAATAGCAATTTTTTTCATGACTACTAGTGATCCTAACAGCTTCTAAGGAAGCTCCCTACCTATTTTAATTCTGATCATTCTTGAAACATACAGTTATGAGCTGGCAAAGCCTAACTTGGAAAATGCATAGGATGATGCATATAAATTCAAGTGAGGGAGAAAAAAAAAAAAAAAGGAAAAAAGAAAAAAGGAAAAAAAAAGAGACAAATGTTTTGGGGAGGAACATTAAAATTAAAGTGTCAAACATAACAAGTAAAAGACTAAGTCATGTCACTTGCATATGCTGTGGTGGGTAAGGAGGAAAAAAATTGGAAAATGCACAGGAAGATGCATATAAATTCAAGTGAGGGAAAAAAAAAAAAAAAAAGGAAAAAAGAAAAAAGGAAAAAAAAAAGAGACAAATGTTTTGGGGAGGAACATTAAAATTAAAGTGTCAAACATAAGTAAAAGACTAAGTCGTGTCACTTGCATATGCTGTGGTGGGTAAGGAGGAAAAAAAAAAACCCACATGACATAAATGAGAAAGCTTGACTCCTAGAAAACTAAATTGTTGAAATGTCAAGTTAATTCTACAGTACCACTTTGGGTGGACTACATTCAAGCTAAATACTAAAAATAATACAACAACAGAAGTTACTATTGGAAGAGCCAAAGCATAAATGGCAAGGAGTGAAAATGAAGTCTACGGAATATAATTACAAAATGGCATAACTGAACACTGCTAAAGGACATAAAATTACAAAATTTATTTACATCTGCTGCATTTAATAACAATTAAACTATGTTTCCAGGGGAAAACCAAATTTTTCTGACACTGGGAAAATTAACTTCTGTGCTCTTCCAGCACCACTGAACCACTTTGGTTGCTCTAGAGGAGTTTTATTTGTGAGACCTGCCAGTTCTGCACTTGTTCCGATAAGACATTTTTTCTGTAAGAGAAGTATGTAGCCTTATTGCTGGACAAAGTCTTGAGATACATAGATCCAATATTTGAAGTATTGCTTTGGGAAGCACACATAGATTTGGAATAGGCTCAAATCTCTAAAGAAGTAACATCACACATGATCACATCTGCAAAATTAAACTGGGGGAGTTCTGGCTTCAACTTCAGTAAGGTTTTCTTCATAGAAACCTAGCAGAGAGTTGGCCAAAGGCAGAGTTAAGTCACTGTGCGTAATCAAATTAAAAGGAAAACATTGTATTGCTATCAATTCCTACTACACAATGGATTGCTAACATGGTAAGAGAAGGATCTAGTTAATTCACGGGGAATTGCCTCCTTTATAGTACAGTATAGAAATTAAAATTACTGCAATGCATCAGTCACGATAAGTAGTGGTATTATATTTTATTTCTGTCATTTTAAAGGTTTGGCCCATATTGCTTTATCAAAATTATCTGTCTCATCACACCACTGTTTGCAATCTGCATCCACGGGCTCATAAAAAACCCCCAAAAAATCCTAATTCTTTACATTTGGCTTGCTAATTCCTTTTCTGAGAAGTATTCACTACCACAATAGCTTTCTGCTCCATAACACACTAGTTTTAAGAAAAGAGAGACAAGAGTAACATGCCAGTTCTGAAACCTTCATTATTCCCATTTGTGGGTGCAGCTCTGCTGTTACTGCAGGGTGCTCCTGGAACCCCTGCTTCTTGGACCATGGACCTTCTGCAGAAACATGTAGAATATAATTCTGGGCTTAATGTCCTCAGCTGGTGCTTGGTTACCTACACAAGCATGGCAAGCTTCTGTTCCCTCTTTAGGTAGGGTAAAAAAGCATGCAAATTTTCTATTTGGTGAAGACTTTGCTATGCATTATCTGTGACAGTCATCCCACAAGTAGTGCACATACATTTCATTCCTACAAGCATCTTGAAAAAGACAATGGTGTGATTATGTACTTTATACACACACAGAGGAGTTCTGTAACGTATGCTCTATAGTTCATTTTATTAGTTGAAGATGTGCACTTTGCTCCATAAACCTAATTGGGTAATGCCTCATGGGTTGCCTCCCTGCTTCCCCTCCCCTCTCCCATGCTTTCCACAGAGTCAGATCTGTGGACAGAACAATTTTTGCCAGTTTGGTTACAGACTAGATCTATCTCGAAAACCTGCCCCTAGTGTACACAACTATTAAGAGAAAGAAGAGCTTCTCCGAGAAATGCTGCTCTTAAGCATCAAGTTAAAGCAATCACAGCTCTGAGGCTCATATTTGGATAGTGATATTACGAGATTCCCTACTACTCTAAGAGACACTTGATTCAATTTAGTCAGTTCATGTTTTGTGAAGTATTAAGCTACCAGAAAAGAATACCTGTTTTATCCTTGTAACCCTAACAATAAAATCTATTTAATACTAAATCTCTTTATGCTTTTCTACCCATTAATTCTGTGTGTTCTTGCTTTAAAATATTAACCCATTAATAATGTGTTCTGGTCCACACATACAAACATTAACGTCAATGGTAAATGCAAGTATCCCGTCCTCTGTTCTAAATATTTTCTGTCCTTAAGGTGACTGTCAGAGTCGTAAGCAGTTACCTTCTTATTTGAAACTCTCTTTCTGGAACCAACTCACTTTTGGAAGTAACTGTCACTTTCCCTGAGCGAAGTTTGAAAACTCATTTAGACAGCAATGTTCAGTCATAAATCAAAATTCCCAAAATCACACAAAAAGGAACCTTTTTTTTAAATGTCAAGAAGCCATAAACTTCTGAGCAACGGAGTAATTCATAATAATCATTCATGATAATGTTTTCATTTTGAGGAAATGTGCAACATTAAAATACATTCAACACATGGCAGTGATGCTTTCCAGAAATAAAACTCAAAGTTGTAAGGTCCAGCTACTACATATGGTATGTTTGTAACAGCTGCAGCTCAAGCCAGAACAACTATATCTTCCCTCTCTATATTTATTTTAGTAGATTTTCCTTTTCCAAACTGACTTTATGGGAAATTAAATGCCTAACTTTTGTTGTTGCAGAGAAGCAAAGAAGGAAGGCAAAGAAATATGGAGTGGAAAGAGAAGAGCAGACATCCCTCCTTTCCATATGCTGCTACTTGCAATATGAAGAAGCTGTACCTACTTGATTATAAAATATATAATATTTTCTGAGCATTAACAGTTGGAAACAGCAAGTTGAAAATACAGAATAGTATCTACCACAGTACAACAAATATCAGTGAATGCCATAGACATGGGAATCCATGAAACAAATCAACTCATTAAATGAAACAGCAAAAGGAAAGCTAAGTTTCATATACCTCTATTTTTCCCTTCAGTGAAAAAGGGAAATGGTGAGAACATATAATAAACATATCCAAATGTAACCTAGAAATAGTTTTGTACTGCTGCTTAGCTTTATCTAACCTTGATTCCTTATCTATATCAGACTAACTTCTGTGTTTGTAGTATGGGGAAAAAAGTGAACTGCCAATTTACAACTGCAGTAGAAAATACGATTGCACCTGGTTCCTATTACCATGGTCATCCTCAAATATGTAGGCAGTACCTACCAATACCAGGACAAAATAACCAGGAAGATTTTACAGTATTCTCTTCTCAGATAAAAAAGGAAAAAAAAAAAAGAAAAAAAAAAGAAAAAAAGAAAAAAAAAAAGAAAAAGCACGTCTCTTCTGTTGCAAATAATTCCAACTTACTGTTTTTATTAGGAGGGGGTTTTTCACATTCACCAAAAACCCCCAAACATAAATTTAAAGATAATTCATACCATTCCCACACAGTCTATTTTACAAAAGCCTGCAGAGAATTGCAGTGGCTGCTTATGTTCTATAGAAGGGTACCTGCAGTTGCTACTCCCAGGAATGCAAACACCAAAGAACTTGAATGAAAGGAAATATTTGGCAAATTAAACAGGGGAAAACACAGGCACATGAATAGAAATGGATGGTAGATTTGAGACACTTTAAGATAAAACAGTTCCTGTTGCATGGATATTTATTCCTCAAATCATTAAGTAATAGATTGTGTGAAGACAATGCCAAGTACCTGGCAACAGGGGAGAGAGCACACGGAACAGATGGATAAAGATGACCAGGAAAGTGGTGGAGCTTCACCTAAAAACACAGGGCCGGAG